CCTGTCAGAATGGGATGATGATACCTAAGCTGTGGTATTAAGAGAAGCAGAGATAAGGTTCAGAGCTGGGGTGGGGCTTGGTAGGTTCCAGCTCTGAAAGAGGCTCGAGGAGGAGGGGGCTCCACGGACTTTGGGAGTTATCTCAAGGGTCAAAACCCCACTGTCCTTAAAGGTGAGGAAGTTGTCGGTCCTAAAGATGTAGCATCCTGTCTGAAGTCACACAGCCAATGACTTGGGCCTGGAACCCAGCTCGGCTGACCCGCTGCTTCAGAAACAGGGAACCCTGGGTAAGCACAGGATGCAACTTCAGGTGGGATAGTTGCTGTACCTGGGACAGGGGTAGATGGATCTAGAAAACCGAAGGTCTGGGAAGGAAGGGAAGCGAGAAGGGAGAAGGGTCAGCAGCCTTCTGCTGGAGCCCTCAGGGCCATCCACGTCCCCGGCCCCGCCCCCCAGGCCCCTTCCCGCCCATTGCCTGCCAGGCACTGAGGGGACCTGCAGATAAACAAGTCTTTCATCACTGCAGGGGAGGCTGGCACAGCTTCGAAGTGATCCAGAGACCTTGGAGCTGGGAGACTGCATCTTCATGGTGGGGACAGGAAATGGACCACGGATGCTGGGAACCCAGACCTGCAGCTTCCCCGCACCTTCCCTGACGTTCAACACACTGTACCGCTCTGACCTCACTGTGACCTCACTGTGACCTCACTGTGACTAGCATAGGTGCAACGTGTGTCGCACACCTGTGTCCTCTCATTTCATCCTCCTGGCCACACCTTCACCTCGTGGGTGAGAAACAAGACATCAAGACGCCAAAGTGAGCTGGGTCAGACCCTGGATATGCCACAGTCAAAGCCACAGGTGCTACTGGAACGTCGGACAGAAGGTCGGAGTCTCCATGCAGCTATCTGTCTTGCCCCCCCCATCCCTCCTTACTTCCCTTTCGCTCTGCTCTTTTCCCACAAAAACGCATTAGGTGCCACTGGGTGTCTTATTTGCGCCAGAACTTGGACTCAGTAAGGTATTCGTTAGGCACCAGCTATGTGGCAGGCTCCATGGTATGCCCTGGACATGCAGTAAGACATTCAAAGTGTTTTATCTACTTTATTTCACGTGTGCATGCTGGGATGCATGTATGTGCATATGTGCACCATGTATGTTCATAAGGTCAGAAGGGAGTGCTGCTGGATCCTCTGGCACCAGGGTTATAGAATGTTATGAGCCACTGTGTGGTACCAGGAACCAAACCCAAGTCCTCTGGAAGAGCAGAAAGGGCTCTTAACCACTGAGCCGTCTCTCCAGCCCCTCAGTAAGACATTTAGTGGGTACCGGCCGTGTGCCAGGTTCTGGGCTAGGCCCCAGAAGTTCAATGGCACGTTCATTAGATATCATCTGTGTGCCAGGCTCTCTATGGTGAGCTCTATCAGACTTCGGGGCTCAGTGGAGCAAGTATTTCTTAGGTACTAGCTGTGTGCCAAGCTCTGGACACCTAGGGAGGCAGCCTTGCCTCCAACCCCACGGGTTTTCACCCCAGGCCCTGGCCATGCTGTGGCTACCCAGACCACTAAGTAAGTAAAATGACCTCCATCCAGCTCCTTTTGCACAGAGCACCATGGTGATTTGATCCCAGCCTGCCTTAGAGGGCCAAGTGATGGGTGGGCCCTGAGGTCCTCTTCTCAGAGCCCCTGCCAGCTCCCTTCCTGAGGGGTGGGGTGAGGGCAGCGAGTTCTGACAAAGGCTTTCTTTGCTAGGGGAACAGGCTGCCCTTGAGGTTGCCTGGTGGCCAGAGCACAAAAGGAAGCTCAGTTGAACAGGGACAGCTCTCACCCTTCCCTTCTGCCCTTCTACTCAATGCTTGTGCTAGGGGAGATGTGAAAATTTTCCACACCACAATGCAAGGACAAACAAAAGCAAACCAGGAAACTAGGCTAAGAGGTCAGGGCCGCAGGTAGCCAACTGTATTCGCTCCGTTTCTTGTCTCAGCCTGGGCCCTCTGTGTGCCTGCTGACGAGGGTCACATTTTTAATCATTTATGTGTGTTCCAAACTTTTCACAATGGGTGAAAAAGAAGTGTTAGCCATGTCCCAGGACTCGCAGCCTAACGCCTTCCTTGTGTGTTAGAGACACTCTGGACATCAAGTGTCAAGCTTGATACTTCTGCCAAGTTTCCCAGAAAGAAAGAAAAAAAAAACCCACATGAGGCAGAAAGTGGTTCCCTTGCACCAAGAAAAAAAACAACAACTACCATTTAATTACAAATTTTAACCATGGGCAAAAGACTCCCTGGGAAATAGATGCGTCATTGTAAACCAATTGTGCAGACTTCAGAACCTCGGAGCCCTGGCTCAAATCTCTCCTCTGCTTCCTCTAGCTGAGATCTAGAGCAATAAGCTCTCTGAGGCTGTTTCCCCATCTACAACATGAGATCAACTGTCAGGTGTCCATCACGGTAAACAAGTGAGCTGTGCCATGTAGTTGAGAACAGGACGTTTGATACGTTCACATTCTTCAAATACATGCAGTAGGGGGAGAAAGGAGAGTGTGAACTTTGTGGTCAGGGAGACTTGGCCGCTTACGGTGTGAATCTCATTTGCAACTCAGCATCGTAAGGTCAGGCCTCTGATTAACCCCACTGAACAGGTAAAGCCGAGGCCTGAACCGAGGCCATGCCACTGGTAAATGACTGAACTAGGCCCCAGCCTGGGTTCAATCTCTCAGCCCCTACCCCTCTGTAAGACAGGAACCCTTGGCAGGAGAATGTCAGATGTGGCACCAAGCCTTGACCTGGAGTCGCTCACAACCTCCTCCTTCCTCACTGCTGTGGAGGAACCTGTCACTTCAAAGCCACAGGCTGGCCTGGTCTACGGCAGTTGGTGGTAGACCAGCCTAGCTAGGGAGAGAGAGGCCTCTGCAAAGCCAAGAAGACTGAGAAGGCCTAGGGCTGATGCAAGAGGGGGCTCACTGGCCTCTGTGGCTTCTGACCTCTTGATGCTTGACAGAGGACTGTGGAAAGGGCTGATGGGTAGACTGAGACTTTGGGCTGGCTCATCCCAGCCCATTAGGAAAAACCACAGTTCTGGTGGTGGGGGAAGAATTTCTAAGCATGGCAGAGCAAGGTGGTTTTCCCTAATAGGCCACAGAGGGTAACAAATGGTAGTGCAGGAAACTAGTCTTCCCATCCACCCATCCCATTCAGGAATGGCCCTGCCCTGAAATACCAGAGTGGAAGTCACAAGATCATCTATTTAGCCCAGGCGTGTTCATTCAAATGCCACCATGACATTTTGCATGCATGCCTACAGATATCCAAAGTTAGCATGTTCAGGCCAAAGACCAAACTCTTCATCAGAAATGCAGGTGCCTCTGCCACTTTGGCCATGTCACTAACCACTCACACCCAAAGCCCAAAGCATCCTTAAGTCCTTAAATCCATCCATGGATCCAGCCATCCACCAGTCTGTTCATCCATCCTGCATGTATCTACCCCACCCCAAGAATTTATCTGTCCATCCATCCATCCACCACCCATCCATCCACCACCCATCCATCCATCCATCCACCATCCATCCATTCACCCACCCACCCATTCAACTATCCATCCATCCACCCATCCATCCATTCACCCATTCACCCATCCACCCACCCATCCATATATCCATTCATCCATCTGTACATCCATCCATCCGACAAGTGACAATATGAGCATCTTGGTGTGCCAAGCACTGTGTCTAAGAACCAAAGATGTCATGGCATACAAACATTGATCAAATAATTTATGTCCTTCTCAACTCCCTGAATCTAACCAACTCTAGTTCTGTTCTCCTCTCCTTCCAAAACATACCTTTAACCTGTTCATTTCCCTTAAATCGCCAACATCTTGCTACCTTCACCCATGTCCAGCCCACAGTAAGGAGTTACGCTCTTCCTACCCACTGCTAATTTAGATTGCTTTAACCTCTCCCTTCTATGGAAGCCAAAGAGTATTTGAACACAAATCAGATCACTTGCTTGCTTCTGTCTATTCTTTGAAAGCTGTCCTGACCTCAGGGTCTTTGGCTCCCATTCACTCTGTCTGACACACTTTCCCCTAGTTTCACAAAACCCTCCTCATTACTTAGATGCCAACTGACATACATCCCATCTGCCTTCTCCTGGCCTCAGCTTAAGTCAGACCCCCAAGTTATTTCCTTTCATATCAAATGTGATTTACTCTGTGGTTTAATGAAGCCTGGCACACCGTTTGTAGGACTCTCCTGTAACTCCTTGTCTCACAGTACTGTAAGCACCAGGAAAGCAGGGATAATTTGTCTGTCTCATCTCATGCCCCCAAAGCAGACACTCCATAAACTCCGGTCTTGCAAACAAATATCCCACCAAGGGCAGCATTTCTCAAAGTCAGAGGTTCACAGTCGCCTATCAACCATTCCCCAGAGCTGACCAGCTCATAGCCGCAGGGGGCTGGGTCTCAGCTTTGCCCTATGCTCTGTCACCTTGAGCAAGTTGTTCAAGGGCCTTAGGGCATGTCTGTGCACCCACCCTCCCTGGCAGCTGTGCAGTTGGAAGAGATCCCAGAAGTGCAGGTGGGCTGTGCAGGTGGGCCATGGCTTTGCCTTGCTCATTTTCAGCAGTAATACATCCTTCCAGCTTCCTGTGGCCGCTCTGGCTCCTTTCCCTTTCCTTAACTCTGGGAAGCCTGCTCTGCCACACCTGGGGGGCTGGGCCAGGCTGACCTCCAAATCCTCATTTGACAGATAAGGAACCCGGGGCTCCCATCCCCCAATGTCCCTGAACTTGATGAGGTAGAAGAACTGAGATGCCTTGGCCTATACTGTCAGCTGCTGACACCCCCAAACCAACCTCTGTAGGCCAAGAGCAAACCAACTTTCTCTGATTCCCATGAAGTTCACAGATGGGATCTCTGTGAGAGTGGTTGTCCAGTCCTCAGACCCAAAGGGCTTCCCAGCTTGAAGAGTGGGCATCTTGGGGAAGAGGGGTCTTACCTTCTTCTGGATGCAGACCCTACCGCCCTAGGTTCTCAGGGACTGTGAGGAGGGACACCCCTGGGATTTCCTGTCCTTTGCGGCAGAGGGTAGCGGTGGTTCTGCCTTCCTGCTGAGAAAGTTCCACACAGGTCAAACTCCAAACTCCAGCCTCGGCTGCAGCAGCAGTTTAAAGGAAGCCTGGATGATCTCCCCAGAACCCTTGAACTCTGAGCAGGCCCCTGCGAGGAAAGGGGCCTGCCCTGCTCTCACTGGGCCTTGGCCAGTGCCCTCACCTGGCAGGGGGCCCATGGCCTGGAGAGGCAGGGGAGACTAGAGCCTGGGCACTGGGCTGCTTTGCTCACCCACTCTCCCGCCTCCCCTCCACTCTGGGAGTAGGCAGCCTTAGGACAGCTGGAGGAGCAGGGGGAGGAGGGGGGTGCAGGAGACAAAAGGGACATGCCCAGAAGGACTTTTCCAGCCCCAACCACTGCCAGTAGCAGCCAGTGCAGCAGTAACTACGCTTCTCCGTCTCTTCAGACCAAAGCAGGGCAGGCCCACAGCATCTGGACAAACCGTCAGGAGGTACTGAGCCATGCACAGAGCTCACATAGGAGTCAGTACTCCAGGATAGTCAGGGGAAGAGCTGCAAGGCTTCCAGCAGCTCAGGGCTGCAAACATTTTCATTTAATTACCAGCATTTGCAGACTGCTGTGCATAATCTTCACTGTCAGTGTTACCGGATTAAAAACCACCTAGGAGACACCTGCCAGTGTGTCTGCCTGCATGTTTCCAGAGAGGTGTAACCCGGGAAACCGACCCTGAATGTGGGCAGCACCCTCCTATGGGATGAGTTAAAAAGAAAGCATGAGAGGAGGGCTGTGCAAGCACAGGGACCTGAGTTCGGATCCCCAGCTTCCATGTAAAGATCTGGGCATCACATGCACGTCTGTAATCCCAGCACTAGGAGGTGGGGACAAGCAGATCCCAGGGCTCACTGGCCAGCCTGTCTACCAATCAATGAGCTCCAGGTTCAGTGACTCTGCCTCAAAAATCAGGTAGCAGAAGGGTGTGGTGGTGCACGCTTTTAATCCCAACACCGGGGAGGCAGAGACAGGCAGATCTCTGTGAGTTTGAATCCAGCCTCGTCTATAGAGTGAGTTCCAGGACAGCCAGGGCTACATAGTGAGACCCTGTTTTGAAAAATATCATCATCATCATCATCATCATCATCATCATCATAATGTAGTAAATGATAGAGGAAGGTACCTGACTTCAACCTCTGGCTTCCCCACATGTACAAGGGTGAGTGCACCCACACACATTGTACAACACACACACACACACACACACACACACACACACACACACACACACTAAAAAAAAAAAAAAAAAGTGAGCTGAGCACATTCATTCATCCTTCTCTGCCTCCTGACTGTGGCTGCCACACAGCTAGGGTCTCATGCTGCTGCCGCCGCTGCTTTGTAGCTCGATCCACTTCATCACCACAGCTTAATTTGCTTTTGCCAGGTACATTTGGCACAGCACCCCAAAACGTAGCTTGAGACCCCAGCCTGAATATCCCACCTTTCTGGAATAATACAAATTGCTGGCCACAGCAGGCATGCATCACAAGACAGTCACAGCTGGAGTGCAGCTGTGGCTACATTCTCTCTCTCCGTCCCTGCCCCCGGCCCAGAGTAGCCCTAAGGCAAGAGACACGCAAGCTTATGTCTGTCCGCACCAGGTTCTGTCTAAGTGCTTGGTGTGTGTGTGTGGACATTTCCAATAGACTCCGAGGCAGGTCCTGTTAGCGTGCCCATTTTCCTGGCCGTAGGGAAAGGTGAGGATCCAGCTAGTCCATCCAAGTGGCAGAGCTAAGGTGTAAATGCAGAGCAAGGAATTCTAGAGTCTTCAGAGGGCCGAGGCAGCGGCCTGGAGACGTGTGCAGCTGGACCTGGTACTATGCACTGGTCCGGAGGGCAGAGACCAGTGAAAAAGACCGAAAGAGAGAAAGGAGCAGCTGAGAAGGGAGGTCAGGGGCCTGTGATTGGTGGCTGGAGGACCCAGCACCAGGGACAGAAGTGAGTTGTTGTGGATGACACACGGCAGCCCCAATCCAGTCCTAATTTCTTTGAGCACATCTTGTGGAGGGAAGGGAGGTTCTAAGAGCTTTCAGAGAAAGCCTGTTTATCTAGCAAAGCAGGACATGGGGAGGTGCCACCCAACTGCAGAGCGCGTATCCCCGCGGGAGGGATAGCCACGCCTCAAAGGCGTCACCATTTAGGCCCCTTTTAGGAATGTTCTACAAAGCTCATGATTGTCACATGTGAGGGCCAGAGGTGTCCTGTCCGGCTAGGGCTGTCACCTCTGACAGTTGCTCTCACTGCCAGACGTCACTGCCTTTACCCAGTATGATAAAGAAGAGCCGTTGGAGAGAACTATTGGGGTTTGTGATCCACACTCCCCGCCCCCACTTCTGTGGCTTTTCTTTTTTTTATTTTTTGTTCATGTTATATCTTTTAGTTAATGGCTTTCACTGAGGCATCTTTGTATGTGTATGCTGTACTTTCATTCACCAACCCCCCTCACCTTCCCCGGTCTCCATCCCCCATTTTACACACGTTCCCTTCCCTACATGCCCCACATACTTTCTTCCATTTTAAAAATTAAGACAGCATGCAAAGCAATGGGCTTCACAATGGCGTTTCCATACCTGTGTCACTGCACTCATCTAAGTCATCCTTTGCCTGCCTCTAGCTGGCTCTTTTCCTTCTCCCAAATCTGTAACGTGTGGCCTCTTGCCTGCTCTTCCTTCCCTCTACCTCCCTTAAAGAACTCTTCTCAAGACTGCCCCCCCCCGTTCCCAGTCTCTAGACCCCCACATACACATATGTAAGTTTAAACCCATGTTCCACATGCAAGAAGAAACCTGTGTGTGCGGTGCCTGTCTTTGCCTCCATCACCCGCTCTTGCTCCTCCCTCCCGCCCCTCCATAGAATGAATGTGTCCATCCCCCAGATGGTCCCTTCTACTTCCTTGTCATATACAAAGGTACATATATATATAATATATATATTATATATATATATTTAATCTGAATTCCACTTATGAGAGAAAACCTGGCTGTTTGTCTTTCTGAGTCTGGCTTATTGTACTTAACATAATGTCCAGGTATGTTACCTACAGAACTGTCCAGATGTCCCTCACAGGTGAACGTATCTCCCGGGATACAGCTGTTCCACCCTGAGATACCCCTCAAGAGGCATGAAAACCAGCCTCCTGCAAACACCCCCACACAGCAGTCCTGGAACAGGAGAGCAGGGAAGCGGCTCACCTTTCTAAAGAGCTACATAGGGGGAGCCCACTGGACTGGGTGGAGCCCATGGCAGAACACTTGCCTAGCGTGTGCCAGGCCCTGCATTCCGTCCGCAGCACAGCAAAGCAAACGACAACAAACCAGGCACAAGCCAATGCAGACTCACAATGTCTGCAGTGAGTTTCAAAAGTGAAAGAGCATCATCAAAAGTGATGCCCCAGTGACAGGAAGCTCAAAGGCTGGAAAGACCGCATTATAGTCTGGGATGGAGACAGCGGGAGAATCGGAGCAAATATATATCGATATAAATACAATATATATATAGAGAGGGGGGGGGATTTATTGGAATGACTTACAGGCTGCAGTCCTGCACGACAAGGCTGGTTGTGAACGGAAAGTCCCAGAATCTAGTAGCTGCTCAGTCCCCCGAGGCTGGGTGTCTCAGCTGGAATGGATGTGCTGACAAGGTGAGGGCAAACAGGCAAAGAACAAGCCCCTCCTTCTTCCATTGTCCTTACATAGGATTCCAGAAGAAGGCGTGACCCAGATTAAAGATGTGCCTTCCCGCCTTAAGGTCTGGATCAAAAGCATGTTGTCTTCTTGCCTCAAGATTCAGATCAAGCTGGGCGGTGGTGGCGCGCACACCTTTAATCCCAGCACTCGGGAGGCAGAGCCAGGTGGATCTCTGTGAGTTCGAGGCCAGCCTGGGCTACAAAGTGAGTTCCAGGACAGCCAGAACAATTACTCAGAGAAACCCTGTCTCGAAAAACCAAAAAAAAAAAAAAATTCAGATTAAAAAATGTGCTGTCCTCTCGAGGGCCGCAAGAATATATCATAGAGATTCAGCTGTGTATTAAAGCTGAACTTTAACCAGCCAAGGGTCTGTCAAAAGGTAAAGCCATTTATTATGAATATTTGGTGTTACCCAGCCTTTAATATTCCAGCTGTCCTTGCGTGCCCAGACCAGTTGGTAAACAGCTCATCTCCCCAGACCTGCTGTACCTACTAAGTTACTAACTACCCCGCTGAGTTTAGGAGACAAGCTGGCAGGAGACACCTAGCTTTGTTTCCTGTGCTAACGAAGCTCAGACCCTCGCCTTGAGGAGGCCTGGTGATTTTCTCAGAGCATTTTGACTGAGAACAAAAGAGGTTTTTACATATCAAGGTGAGAGATAAAACAACATTCCCCAGGAGGCAGGGAATGAGGTGCCCAGGGAAAGAGAAGGCAGGCATTTTCTGTAGACAAGGACAGAACAGCATGGCGAGAGAGAAGAGTGGATGACAGAGGTTTCATAGAGGGTAAACAGATCTCCAGTAGAGTTTTCTGAGTGCCAGGAGTAGAGAGAAGCAGAGATGGAGAAAGAGGACACAGAGGACGAAGATGAGCCTGAAAGCATAGGAGTTAGTCCTTAGCAGGGCTATGAGCTAGGGAGCTGGACGGAACTGCAGTTATGGAGGCAGGGTTTCATCCCAGAGAAATAGAGTAGATGGATATAGAGCTTGTCATGTCTAGAGTTGTTCCTGCCTTGAATGCCTGGTGGAGCTATAGCTGAATTGGTAGAATGTTGTCTTAGAGGAATAAAGTTAACAGACATAAGAACATAGTGTACGTAGATTTTTTTCCCCCCTGATATCCCACACCGGACATAGCAAAGCTCCTTGGACTCCTGAGGAATCGATACTGTCCATTTCTGGATTGTAGTTCATTCCAGATATAGTCAAGTTGACAACCAAGGATAGCCATCACAGGGTCTCTCTCAGTGAGTCAGGAACTTATCAATCAGTTCGGCTGGTTGGCTGGCCAGTGGACTCCAGGGATCCACCTATTTCTGCCCCCCGCCCCCAGCACTGAGATTTCAGATGCATTCCACCATTAAAAACCATGGAATAGCTTAAGATATATCATGCCACTGTATTTAAATTTTTCCTTTAAAAATGGGAGCAAGGCTGGAGAGATGACTCAGTGCTTAAGAGCACATACCGCTTTTCCAGAGGACTGAGTTCGGTTCCCAGCACCCACATCAGGTTGCCCACAACCACCTGTAACCTGGGTTCCATGGGCATCTGATGCC